TCGCGCGCTTGCGCGCGTAAATTTAATTCTAGTGTTATTTAAATGGGAAATGAAAAATTAGGGACAGACATCTCTAACTATTAATATTAAGAGCTCCACTTTAAACAGGCTTCTGTTCTCGCCAACATGCAAGTTTTCATCCTGTTTTTTCGTTGAAAAAAAAAAGTCGCCTAAAATTGGCACACCCTAATAATTATATATAACAAATAACAATGTTTAATTAATTATTGGGTTAATTTTATGGATAGATTATTTAATATGGTCCTACGCAATTCTGTGTAACCGATCAAAATGTAAAAAAAATATCTAGATCTAATTTTATTGCTATAACACCAGCGGTCACCCATCCAACTCTATTAACCCTGCTCAATGCTGCTTAACTTTGGTGATCTCCGTGCGTCTTGAAGTTTCTGTCTGCTATGCTGCTATTTTAGACAATAATGATTCTATGATCTACTTAATGTATCATATGAGTTTATCATATATATAATATAAAAATTGATTTTATAATATATTTGGATAGTCATAGTTCATAATTAATTTATTTTAATAAACTATTCATAAAATAAATAATGATTTTACTATTAGGTAGTAGCAGAGCAGACAAAACATCTCGTAGGAAATGTGACAAATTTTGTATTTCAGAATTATTTAAACGTAATTATAAACATCATTTTACCCTTTTTGTGATTACCCAAAAAAAATTTTTTTTTCAAAGAAAAAATTTTTAATGTATGTTAATTATATATAAGCATATATAATTATATATGGGACTATGTACAATCTTGCATAGCTGTATATTGCTCCATATATAGTCATATATAATTATATATGATTATATATGACTTCATATACAATTCCATATATAATCATGTATGATTATATATAACTATATATAATTATATATAATATTATATATAATTTTATATACTTATATATATATATTTGTATATGGAACTATATACAATCCTGCATGGTTGTATATCGCTCCATATATAGTCATATATAATTATATATGATTATATATAACCTCATACACAATTCCATATATAATCATGTATGATTATATATAATTATATATGATTATATATAATTCTATATGTGATTCCATATATAATCATATATGATTATATACAATTATATATGATTATATAGAAACATTTTTTCTCGGGTATTGTTTTTTCGATATTTTTAATCACAATTTATAATTTTTGAGTACTTTTAAAGTAAATTTGATAAAAAATTTTGCTATGACAAGATCAATTACCAATAATTTAACGGAACAAACTTAAAGTACCAGCAAACTATTGAAAACTTAATACAAAAAAATTACTACCCCCAAAAAATATGTAAAATCGTGAAAAGGCACAAATTCAGGTTACGGCTTTTCTGATAGTACCAATTTTTTCTATATTAAGATTCATCTGTAATAAAAACAGACTTTCCACAAAATTGTCCTTATTCCATTAATTATATGAATTCACTGTTTAAAAATTTCATTGTATAATTTTAATTTAAAACTCAATAAAATTTTTGCAATAAAAATTTTCAATTAACTGTCGCTTAATTGTTTTCGGACAATTTGACTAAAATAATGAATTGTTTGGTTATAAAATTATTTATGTAAGTTACATTGGATTATTAATAATCAAACTAATCCTTTGTACTCGGATTTTACTTATAATTGTATTTTGTAATATTCAAAAAAATAAGTAAAAAATCGGTATGAAAAATCAAATTTATGAATAAAATCACGATACTTACACTATTAACAATTTGAAATTGTTATTATTGATTATTAGTGATTACTATTATTATTAGATAAACTATGCAATAGCACAACTTGATGAACAGGAATCACCGAAAAGACTGGCCTAATGTCGAAATGCGCGAGAATATTTAAAGCAAAGCTTGTGAGGACGGTTGCCGAGATACTGAATGAGAATTCGATGAGAACCGGATAAAATTTAATGATTATCTTCTTCAGTTTTTCTTGTGTGCGTGAATATAGACAGATTCGTTAGCATATACACGCTAATATAAGAATAAAACACGACTTATTGTCGAATTTTTTATCTGTAGGAAAGATAATTATTATCATTTACAGATTTTTTTTCAAAAGATATTTATTAACGAGCGTTACAAATTACTTTTGTAGTTATTAATGTCATTAATCTATTATTTGTCACTACTAATTGTTTTTTGTTTTAATAGCCGAGTCATTGTCTTTAATTTCGATCATTTTATACAATAAAATAATGATTCAAATGTTGGAACAAATGTACAGTACCATCATATTTTGGAATTTCGCATGAAAAAATCATTGATCCGCGTATTAATGTTTGAAGTTTTATGTAATTATTCCTATTAATCTCATATATAATGACGAAGATAATAAATGATAGTTTTTAAACTAAAACCTATTATGAATGCGTTTCTGTTAGGATTGTCTGTAACGTAAATGGTTTTACATAAATTCAAGTTGGGCTGAAAAATTTTACAGTCGAGAAGACAGTATCAAAATTTTTTTTTCAAAATGATTCTAAGCTTTTCATAAATAGAATTTATTATTATTTTACACAATAGTTCAAGTCGTTGATTATACATAGGGTAGAAGTACCGGTTTTGACCATCGTAGAACCATTTTTAGCCACTTGTTATTTTAGTGAATTTGTAAAAAATTTCACTATTCAAGTAGAATTTTTATAGAGTTTATGAATTAATACGAATTAAATTTATAAAGTCTTGCGCTTTTAGAAATATTTATACAATAATTTGAAAAAAAAGTACACTGGCCACAAACGGTAGTTCTCTCCTATATTTTGTTCTCCAAGCTCGAAGGGGCTTTTTAATTTCCTAACTTTTCGCTTGGAAAATTTAGTGTTATGAGCTTCTGAGTATGAAAATTGAAAATTAAAAAAAAAAATTTAAGTAGTAAAATTGTTTTAAAAAAGTCTTTAACTAACTGTATTTG